TTCCAACCTGAATTGTTCTATGATAAGGGTGGATCAAACTGTGATAAAAGGGTTTGAAGAAGGAGCTCATCTTTTAAAGAGAAAGCTATTCCTCAGCTATCTGCCACTGTGGGACCTGGGCTTGGGAACTCAGGGGTCCCTCCAGCCCAGGTCTGGGGGTCACATCGCAGGGGTCACCAGTATTGAGGCCGTGCTGCTGAGGACGCAGCTGCGCTGGGCAGGACATGTCTCCAGGGTGGAGGATCACCGCCTCCCTAAGGTTGTGCTCTGTGGTGAACTCGCCACCGGCTGCCACAACAGAGGAGCCCCAAAGAGGAGATACAAGGACTCTCTGAAACAACACCTCAGTTTTGGCCGTGTTGACTACCATCAGTGGTCCACTCTGGCCTCCAGTCGGGAGACGTGGAGACACACCATCCATAACGCTGCTGCCTCCTTTGAGAACACGCATAGAATTAGTCTCGAGGAAAAAAGAAAACGCAGAAAGAACGGTGCCTCGCCAGTACCGCCTAAGGAGACTTTCTGCTGTGCCTTTTGCAACTGGACTTTCCTACCCCACATCGGCGTTTTTAGTCATCAGCGCGCTTGTAGCAAGTGTGGGTAGAGCCCTTCCCATATCTTCGTTCACGATGATGTTTTCCTGAGCCTGGTTATTGTCACTGACCATGCAGTATGTAAGGTCACTTAAATATCGTAAAGATATCGGTGATTTGCCTGAAAAGAAACAGTTTTCTTAAGCAAAACTGCTGTTTGGTTTAACTTCTTCCTTACAAACCAGAGCTGGTCACAGAAAAACAGGTAGAGTGCTGGTTTTAGGCCTGTCTGCCCCACTCACTGTAGGTGCTGCATAAACATGTTAGTATTTATCAAAGACCAAAGTAAAAAAATACTGGAGGAGGCTTTATCCAGCATGGAACAGCTATATAGCTTCTGCACTGAATCAGGTTAGTACGGAGAGAATAAGGTCATGCTTGCCATCATCTGCCTGATGTTCCATAGTATGAGTGTCTCTGACATGGGAGTTGCATCTAGGATTAGCTTAAAGGTGTAGCTCTGAACTCTCTAGGAAAACGGATCCTCTCAGTTCTTGAAATGTACCATTACTATAAAAAGCCTAGTTGGCATTAGCTCACTGCAGCATAGAAACTTCTGCCTCAAATAACGAATCCAAGTTTATTAGAAATATGTCTGACAAAAAGTCTTCTCTGGTCTCTAGTCCTACACTTAGAACAGTTTGTACCTGCTTCCTGCCTTTAAGCAGTTTGGCAGCCATGGCCTGGTTTACACAGCGGTGATAACTCAGGACTTGAGCTTCTCAAGCAATCCTCTCCGCTCCTGTGTGGTTCTTTCACACTGTGAGCTGACTGGCTTCTGCTACTGGTACTTAGGCAGGGGAACAGGGTAGGCTGATGGGTAGTGTTGTGGCAGCTTGCCACCCAGACTTGGCTTGTGGGTTTTGCTTCTGAATACATCTGTGTGGTGGGGCTTTTTGGCTTTGTGGTTTGTTTGTGGGGGTTTGTTGGTTGAGTGTGTTTTTCTGTTTAGAGGTTGGTTTTTCATCTTTTCAGGAGGATGGGGGGATTTTCTTGGGCTGTTTTATTCCATTTAAGCTGTTCAGATTGGGGCAGCCAGTTTACTACTTTGATGCCATTCCAAAATCCTGTTTTTGGGATTAGTTGTTGCAGGAAGCATTGCCAGCTGATCAGACAGTTACTACTGGAATACTAATTTCAGGGCTGACTTTTGTCCTGGAAGTATTGCTGGTTTAAAAAAATCTTCCTATACCTCCTGACCAGAGATGCTGGGATATGACTGGGATATGTCACAGCACTGACTTTGTAAAGCATTTTGGAAAGTAACAGATTTCTATGTGTATGTTACCTTTAATCCCTTATTTACTAGCTTTTCAATGTGTTCAACACAGGATCCGTGAGTTTGGAGTGCTTGGGGAACAGTTTGCTTATAACACTGAGTGCAGAATACTTTGAGGACAAATACTTATCTTTTTTTGTTGTTGGTAAGTTGATATAGAAGAATCATAGAATGGCCTTGGATGGAAGGGATCTCAGAGATCATTTTAATCCAATCTCCCTGTCATGGGCCAGGGATGCTATTGCACATGATGAAATGTTTAAAATTCTCCAATGCCCTCCTGTACTAGAATTCCCTGAATTATTCTAAGATCATAGATCTTAGTAGTTTTGGACCTCATTTTAAATAAGGCCAAATGCTACCTTTATTTCTGTATAACCTGTCCTATAGACTTGTGATAGAACTTAGCCATGAATAGACTTGATATTATTATCTTTAACAAAAATCGAAATGCAGATAGTAGTTTCTAGGCATGTAAATGTTTATAGGATTCCCTTCTGGTAAAAATGTTCCCCAGTAGCAGCACACACTACTTTGAAAATTTGTTAGTTGAACCTGGCACTAGATTACTGATTTTGCATGAGTGTCTTTCCTCCTCCTTTGCTTACAGCTGAGGGCCTTGGTGGAGGTGTCTAAATTCTTAATGAAGTTTAAAAAAAATTAGCTGGGTCCTGTGGTTATGGGCCTAGTAGTCAACAAATAGTGCATTTGAGTGAAAAGCACGACAGAGTGCTCTGGAAGGACAGAGTGAGATAACTTCTGGGTTATAAATTTCTTCAGGTGTAAGATTATATACATAAAATATAAACTCAGCCTTTAATCAGCAATCTGTGCTGGTTAGCTATCTCACTAGATGTAGTCCCTGATAACCATAACATCCATCTTTCCAGAATGTTAAACTTTTGTAAAAAACAGCTTAATATATGTTCTTTGTTTGAGCACCTTCATCAGTACAAAAAGATGAGAATTCTGTAACTGGGATTGAAAGTTAAAAGTTTTGGGAGGTTTTAGTTTTGTGTTTATATTTTTGGAAGGAAACAAATACAACTAAACCAAAGAAGAAAAGAAGACCCAAACCATAAATACAGTTTTGTAGTCTAAAAAAATCCAAGCTAAGCTTTAGTATGTTCAGCTTGATAAGACCCCTGAAGCGACAGAGGGTTTGCCAGGCAGGTATCAGAGAAAAAAAATGGGCCTGTGCCAGCTGCATCAGACACTTGATATTGCTTGGCTGTCATCATCTGTCAGTCCTGCCAGCTTTGACCCTGATGACTTAAAGGACAGTTCTGTGCTTACTGGGGTGTTTGCCACTTTAGGATTTTCATGTTGGTGATTTTTATTTTTTATGTATTTTTAAAATACCTTCAGTGCTTGAGCTGCTCATGTTCCCTGTCCCAGTCTGTCTGTAATTTTACCTTTTTTAACCTTCTATAGACTTTGTTACAGCTCTTTCACCACTTTGCAATTTTTATGTCTGAGCACAGGGTAGGCTGCTGAGCTCCAGGGTCAGCTGAGTCCAGAGGCTGGGGCAGGTCCCTGAGGGAGTCTGCAGAGCAGGAGCTATCCTCATTAATACTGCTCTTCACTAATTGCCCATAGATCAGTCTGGCACAGCCTGGGAGCTCGATGAGGCCATGGCATCACAGTGTGGCTATAGAGTAACCTACCGCAACTGGGGTAACATCAAGTTTCGTGCTTCTGCACTAAGCTGCCATTCTCGCTTAGAGGTGAGTCTACTATAAACATGTTGACTACAGTGCTGCTTTATACAATGTTTACATGAAAGACTATCAAAGTATTGATAGATATTGAGTTGTCATAGTATCTTGAACATCTGTTAGCAGAAAATTATTTAATTCTCCCTAAATGTATCCAGAGGTTTGCGAATATTTCATGGTATTGACATATGAATGGCTTGCAGATGAACACATGAAGTATATAATTTATGCCCTTGAAGGATAACTCTTTTCTCTTGGATAAGCATAGGGAATTCTGTGAGGCAGTTGTGTTGTGACCTCTTCTAATACGTAGTGTCTGAGACATGTTACACTAAAAGCTCAGGAGCTTCATCTGCTTATGTTGCTTGCTCACTGCTACTATGTCATAAAACACAAGATCACATCTATTTTAGGGAGATTTTTTTATTTATTTATTTTTAATCCAGACCTGGAGCTACAGAGTTGCTCTTCTGTGCAGAAGCTGGTGTGTGGGTTTTGTAATTTACTTTTGGGTCACAAGGATAGGTGGTTCCTAACTAGGAAAAATCAGACTAACAAGTGTTCCCTGTGTCCATGCAGAAAGATGTGTTCATAGTAACTATACAAATCAAAACATCTCATCATCCTGATATGAGAAATGCTACAACTCATTTGAAAAGTGCAAGTTGTTATTATGGTCCATGGAGTCAGAGAGAGTTAGTATGTGAAAGTAACTACATGGAGGTAAGTACTGGAAATATGGATGGGGAAGTACTTAAGGTAAGGAGGTAAGTACTGGAAGATGCTCTCTTTGAAGATGATTAGATGCTAGAAATGCATACTGGAAATGGAATTTGAATGCCCCTGTCATGAACAGCTTTCTAGAGAATGTACAGCATGCATCGTGAATTTAGTGATGCATTTATATTATGCTTACATAGCCTACTTGCCAGCATGAATAGCCAATAAAGCTGTGAAATGGTGTTCAAAAGGTTAAGCTAATGGACTGAACTCACTGAATGTTGCCTTAATAAATCTTATCTGAGGTAACAGAAATATACACTTTCTGAAGGAAGTTTCTCTACTGAATTTGCTGAGGAGAAATACAAAGAGGGGGAAAGGGAGTCCTCTTGGAAGAGGACATCAGGGTCAAGAACAAATTCCTGGCCTTAAGTGGAAGTAGAAAAGGGAAGATAGATGAAAAAAAGCTGAAATCAAGTGGACTGTAGATAATGCACATTGCATGATGGCATCTTATGCCATATTTTTTTGATTGGTGGGAGGAAACCTCCCACTATGAAATATTACTTTCTGTTGAAAAAGAGAAGGAAACAAGTGCCACCAGTAAACACCTTACAAGGCTTCTTTCCCTTCAGGTTTCTGTTAGGAGGGAGGTTCCACAGACTGTAAAAGACTTTATTCAAGGTGAACCAGAGGACTGGAATCTTGCTTTTCCAGAGGTAAAACTATGGGTTTTCTTAGTAAAAGCTCATGCTGATTCTGGCACAACCATCCTTCCACTCTGTGTCCACACAGTACAAAATGTCCTTTCAAAAAGTACTTAAGTAGAAAGAGCAGAACCTCTGTACTATGTAGCTTTAGTACAGAGATTGTATGCACTAGAAAGACAGCTGTAAGCCATGTCTCCAAGGAAGAAATGGAAACTGATTTCTCAGTGTAGAAATGAAGTTTTCATGAGGCAGGAGTCTGCGCAACAAAATCTATATCTGAGACCCTGTGGCCCAGGAGTGATCTGCGGATAGGCTTTTTTCTTCTTGGACCCTGTGTATGCAGTGCAGCAGTGCAGTTGATCTCTGCTGCTTTTAATATGGAAAGTTTTCTCTATATGTGAAGGGGAGAAACTGGAGGGGTATCTCACTTGCAGTATTTAGAATAAGGCAACAAAGCTGCTGGGCAGTTCAATAGAATAAATCACTCAATATGGTATATCTATTACTTTGAACAGCATGTTTAAACTATTGAATTCCCCTGCGTAGGCAAAAGCAGGAGAAGTCTCAATATGGCAAATAGTGTTTCACCAGCCAGAAGAAAAAAAGGCTCTGCTTGTGAGTGATGCCTGGAGTGCAGGTTATGGACTCAACACCACAGACACCAGGGTTCTGCTGCGAGTACCATACACAGCTGAGCAAACTCAGCTGGTTGAGGTTGGTATGCTCACTTCTGGCCCTGCAAGCTGCCAGGCTGTCCAGGTCTAACCAGACTCCTTCCTACAGGATCAGGGAATTACCTTTTCTGCAGTGAGATCAAGTATATTTTACAAACAGGGATGGATGATCCTCATGGTAGACACTACTGTGTCATGTCCTGTAGGTAAGAAACATGGTACCTTACCCCAGTCCTTAAATGTACAGGGACCAACTTACAACTTGATGAGCTGAGAGCTTTCATATCTTGTCCCTAAGATGGTGTGGACTACACTAACAAAACAATCACTTGGACTGTTCCAAAATATACTCACCTGCTTTCTGCTGGAGCAACTAGCTTTAAGGATGTGCTTGTTGAAGCTGGTGTGGATCTACATAAACTCTCTGCTGAAGAAATGGCTTCCAGGAAATATGTGTTTTCCAATGACTTAAATGAAATTACGATGAAGATACCAATAGGTGCAGAAGGTGGCTATTACAAGGTTAGTAACTTACGTTAGGTGCCAGACAGCAGACTTTTTGGAGGGTTTTGGTTTTTGCATTTTGTCTTCTGTGGGGAAGAATAACTCTTCATCCTGTTCCTTTCAAATGAATGGTGGAGCATGAGGGTGAAGAAAGGGTATATGAAAAACCCCAAAAGCCCTGTCTAAAGATAGCTCTTGTAAACACCACTTCGTGAAGAATTTTTTTTCTTACAAACAAGAATGGACAGAATCCTACACAGAACTATCAGTTTGTCTCCTTCCTCAGGTTAGCACAGAGATTTCACCTTTTAGTTATGTCACTCTCCTCAGAGACAGTCTAACTGGAATGTAAAGCATGTGTAGGTTCTCTGTATTTTACACAGACGTTTAAGAGAATAAGAACAACCCATCTGTCCACCAGATCATATGATACTGTGATGGGCTGAGACTATATATCAAATCTAATTGCTTGAAATTAACTGAACCCTGGGCAAATGTTGTTGCAGAAGGAGTCTTTTCACTGGTGAAATAGTCCATGGCTGCTTTGAAACTTGGGAGTGGGAGGGCAATTTTCTGAAGGAAGTATTCTGAGACTAATCTAAACTCATAGGAGTATAGCAAGTGTCACTTAAGAGTTCATGATTCCTGAGCTGAGAAGGACAATTGTCTGGAGCGGTAATAATTGAATGGCTTGTGTTAAAAGGACTTGAAGCATCATCTAGTTCAAATCGCTTTGCCATGGGCAGGGATATCTGCCAAACCAGGTTGCTCAAAGCCTCATCCAACCTGGCCTTGAACACTTTCAGAGAGGGAGCTTTCACAACTTCCCTGGGCAACCTGTTCCAATGGCTTGCTACCATCACAATGAGATGCTAAAATACATAACTTAAATATAAAATCATCTTCTATTAAATGGTGCCGATTTTAAATTCTAGACTTCTGTGAGCAATGGACAGCATGGGGCAAAATACACCATCAACCTGTTCTTGGAACATCAGTGGCAAGATAACAGATGGGGAATAACTAAACATACTATCATCAAGGAAATAGAAACACCATTTGAAAAAGTAGAAATTGATATAACCAACAGTAAGTAGCCTAACATTGAATTTACTGAAGCTCTTAACATTACCAAAACCTTAATGTTACTGTGTTTCTTTTCAGACTCAAATGTGAGCATGAGGCTAATGAATGTGACAGTGGGAACGTTCCTCCCTGATGTAGAAGTTGTGAATGTGACCATAGAGGGGACAACTGTTTCTGTACTTGAAGCTGTTCAGCATGGGTATCTAACAAACGAGGTCACATATCCTAATGGAAGCAAAGCCTACGTAATACAAGTCTCACTTGATGCTCGAAGCATTAAGAAGGAGGTGTGTCCTTAGATACCGCAACACACTGTGGTATAGAAATGATGATATCATTTGGTGATTTTTTTTCTAAATGTGATTCTCCTAGTACATGAGACCGGACATGAGAGGATACACCCTGAATGTCACCCTAACATTCATAACCCATCCAACAAGAGAGACTTTCACTGTCCCAGTCATAACAGTGTCAGCTGTTAAAGATGCAGGTAAACTACTGGAACTTACAGAAAACTGTACTAAACTTGCTATGAATTCAGCTATTGACTAGACTAGTTTCAGCTAGGGATACTGTCAGTCTTAAACAGTCCTATTAAGCTCTGACAGCAGGTAGCATGCTGGCTGACTTGTGACTGTATTACAGTACTGCCCAGTGCAACAGGATTTTGTGATGGAAAGAATCTTCATCTCATTATCACTCATGGGAATGTGGACCAGAACTGGCTACCCTTCATCTCAGACTGGCATCTGACCTCAGAGGCTGCACAGAAGTACAACTACAGCCTGAGGGACAATGGCACCCACTTGGCAATCTCTGTCCCTTTCCTTTCTTCCCATGTAAATTATGAGGTAAGGATGCCAACATGTAGTAATTAAAAGGCATGCTCTGGCTCCAAGATATGAACATGATAGATTATGTCCTTGAAAGTGAAATAAAACTTCAATTTGAGGTAGCCTTCAAAGGATTAAGCGAGAACTATTTCCTGCCCTTGGAAGAAAACTTTAATTTCCCCTGGTTAATGTTGACAGAGGTAGGCAAAAAAATAAAAACAAAACCCCAACACATTCTGCAAGCGCTTTAAGGCAATCTTTAACGGCAACTATGAAGTTTGTATTGCACTCTATCTCAAAATGATTGAAAAAATTTGTGTGAGCTTCTAGATTGAAAAAATATCTCCTGTGGATTTGATTTTGCTCAAGCACCATTACCTTTGTCTTGTGATAACCCGCCCTCTTAGGTTTTTCAATACTTTAGTTGAACAGTGTCTCTTTATTTTCTTGTTTAACCTGTGATTGTCATCTCTAGGATTTTAATATCTCTGGAATAAAGGCTTCACTCCACTTAACCTTGAAGGATGGCATCAACTTGGCTAATAGGAGGGACTTCTCCATTTCCTGCGTATTTTCACCTTCAGAGCTAATACGTAATAACATGTTGGGGATTAGTTGTTAATGATCTTTGTGTTGCGTAACTAAGTCACACAAGTTCATGCAGTCTGAAATGCTTCTAGAATTTATACTTGTGTCATAATCTATTTGCCTGTCAGATTTCATACCCAATAATATGCTACAAGGCAAGTCAAATTACATATGGGGGTGACTATCCTCTCTAGTACAGGAGTGGATGGAAGGAGGTGGAAAACTCCAAAATCATAAAGGTCTTTTTAAAAGGATTTTTGTGGCTCGTTTTAGGGTCGGATGAGCTTTTCTTGGCAGGATGGAGGGACAATCAGCATATAAATTAGTCATTTTAAAGCTACTCATCGATATTGAATATTCTTACTTTTTTAGCCAAGATATTATGTTTAGGAGTGAGTGAGAGTTCCTAGGAGGAGAAAGAGAACATGAAATTGTCAGCTTTGTCCACATAGTGCACTCTTCATTGGCCATTACCTTTAAGAAAATAAGACATCTGTATTGAATAGAGTCTTACTCAAAGCTTAATCCTTGTAAGATGCCCAAAAACTTGCTAGCAAATCCATGCGGAATATCTTTGATGTGCTGGGCTACCAAACAAAGGAGTTTGTGTCCTGATTTGTATGAAAAATATATTTTTCAGAGTGCCTGCCCAGTGGCACTGTGGTTATTACTGCAGTAAAATTGGTGGGAGTTGCAGACCTGGACACTAGCCTGCTTGTCTTGAGGGACAGACGGTGCAAACCTAGTCTAGTGACAGAGAAGACTGCAACCTTCAAGTTCAATGTGAACACTTGTGGAACAAGTAGAAAGGTAAGGGCTTAGTCACATAAAGTTTACGCTGCATTGGGATAGGTTTCTTGCTAGAACTAGTAGAGTTTGAGTTGAACGGAAGCTGCAAAAAGATTACTTCTGTGAAGTAGCACACCTACATTCTTTTTCTGAATTTTTCTAAATTCAGTTGGATGCAAGTTCTTATTTGGTAAAAATGGTTTTCAAGGTCAGAGGTGTTTTCTGAAACTAGCCTTCATTTTGACACCTATGAACTCTTTAGTAAAGGGTCTGAGTGTTAGTTTGTCCTGTTGAGAGATACTCATATGCCTTGCAGAAGCTGATTAGGTGTTGCTAATGACTACATGGCCCAAGACCGGAGCAGGTCCTGCTCCTGCCACCTATGTACTGCATAACTAGAAGACAGACAAAACAATAGACAGGTCAGATTATGCACTGAGTCAGGCAACCACAAAGGCAGCTTGCTTCTCTGTTGCATCTCATGCTAGACATTGATTCTGTCAACAGAAAAAAAGTGATCTTTTTTTTTTCCTCAGGCCTGGTGCACCCTCTTCGTGGAGTGTTGTGTCATGTGGTATTGTTAGCTAATAAACTGTTTCTTCATTACTATGGCATAGCTGTCAGCTATACATAACTTCATTCAGTAGGCATAGGGCTGTTTGCTGGTAACTTCTTGCTAGTTGTATTCTGCTCAGTGTAATCTGCCAGTCAAGCGAAGGGATGCAGATATTGTGTCAAAGCCAAAGTACACTGTAATGTAACTGACTTATTTGTAATGTTTATTTTTCAGTTCAATAGCACAACTATAACATATGAAAATGATGTACTCTATTTCAGACCTGGCAATGATACACCAATATACCAGTAAGTGTTATCATCTCCTAGTGGAAGGTTGTCCAAAGTATTTTGGTTTTTAAAAATTTAATGTTTAACCTCTTCCCCTAGACTGAAATTTGTATGCTGGTATGCAATCAAGCAGACTGTTGATATCCAATATGAATCAAAGAAGAATCCACCACCAAGTATTAAGCCAGGATTTGGCTCTCTTAATCTTTCACTGAAACTTTTCAAAGGTAACATTTACGATTATACCTCAGAATGATGGAACAGTTGAGGTTGGAAGCGGCATCTGTGGGTCATATAGTCCACTCACTCTGCTCAAGCAGGGCCACAGGTGTTGCTAAGCAGGGTTAGCGCTAACTAAAATAATCATAACCTGTGTCAGAGAAGGAAGATACATGCAGTAGTGCTGTAAAGCAGTAACTATGCAAGCAGAAAGGACTATCTGAAGCCTTGAACCAAATCCTAACCCTGACTGGAGTGGTCCTGATTAATTTCTTATTTTTTTTTTTTTAATTGTAGAAAGCTTTGGGTTGGAAGGGATCTTTAAAGGTCATCTAGTCCCTGCTCACTGCAGGAGGTTAGGGCACTCGCAACAAGATCAGGTTGCTCAGAACACTATTCAAACTGACCTTGAATGTTTCCAGGGATGGGGCTTCTACCATGTCTCTGGGCAACTTGTTCAGTGTTTCACCACCTACACTGTTAAAAAAAAAAAAAAATAAAATTCTTCCTTATATCCAGTTTAAGTCTACCCCCTTACTTTAAAACCATTACCCTTTGTCCTGTTTCAACAGGCCTCGCTAAAAAGATTGTCCTCATCTTTCTTATAGGCCCTCTTTAAGTATTGAAAGGCTGCAATAAGATGTCCTCAGAGTACTTTTCCCCAGTACTTTTATAGAGTTTTGTATGAGCATCTTACTCCAATGGGCTTTTGCAGAATGAGAGGAATGTCTGTACTTCTGGATCATTACAGCCAAGGAAATACAGTTCAGATCTTTGCTTTCACTGCCGGTTCTTAACACTTCTGCCATCCTATCCCCAACTGTTGACACTTGTAGGGTCTCCCAGATTTTAGTGTTACTGTGCCAGAGTAAATGGTGGTAGAAAGACGAGTGAAACAGAAAGTTTGTGAAGACTTAGTCTTTAAAAAGGAAACTCCAACATCAATACTCTCTTCTAGAGAAATCCTTTTCAGAGCCCTACCAGGAATCGGAATACCCTGTGGTAAAATACCTCAGGGAGGCACTGTATTTTGAAGTTGAACTGCTTCAGCCTAAAGATGAGAGACTAGAACTACACCTGGATGACTGCTGGGCTACCAACTCCCAAAGTCAAGATAAACTTCCACAATGGCCTCTCCTTATAAATGGGTAAGTAGGATTTCCCTCCTGTATTTGGTGACTGCTCAGCATGAGACACTTTACCTTAGGTGGAAAGAAAGGAGAAGAGGACAGAAGTCAGCCTGGATGTATTGTTTTGTCCTGATGGGCAATTGCTGTTGAGTTGTGGAAAGTCTGATGGTGTCAGTGCAGTGGCTGTGCCTCCTGGTGGCAGAAGGTCATGGGCATGGCCAGAAGTGCTTCTAGATAGCAGTTTCCAGCTGGAAAGAAAGAACAAGAAGCGACTCTGACTGTTGCTAAAGGTGGGGATCATGAATGGGAAAGGCTTTACCCATACCCCTATGGCCTGAAGAAAATAGAGAGGGAAGTTCCTCTGTTTCACCTTCTTGCTTTGTTTAAAGATCTGGTTGAAGTGATGAAGGTCTAAATTAAACACATTTCTTTCACTTTCCAAAAAAAGGTGTGAAAATAGTGAAGATTCCTACAGAACTGTCTTCCACGAAGTTAATTGTAGCCTCAGAGTAAAATTTCCTCAGCACCTAAAGAGATTTGAAATGAGAATGTTCACCTTTGTACAAGGCACAACTCTGTTACAGGAGCAGGTGAGATGCCTCTGTGGTCTGTCGTGTGCTGTCGGCAGTCCCAGTATGTGAGCCTGGAGCAGTGCATGCAGCAAGTGCTGGGCAAGGTCTCAGCTGGCCAGGGGCCACCTGAGGCTCTTAGCCGCCTCCTTAAAGGCATAACACTTATAAGACCACTAACCAAGGACTAGCAACTTAGTGATGTTCAGTCAATCTCCTTTGGGGAGATGCTTGCCAGGTAAGAGTCCACTACACATAAATATTCTTGCCTTGTAGCTGTACTTCCATTGCAGTGTGGTGATCTGCAGCACAACCCAACAGCCTTCAGGCCTTCCTTGTCCAAGGAGATGCAATCCTGGGAAACACAGACTGGGTAAGAAACTGGGCACTTCTCAGGTTACTCCTGAATCTTTGCTCAGCAATGTGGCAGATGCTTTCCACAAGCTGTGTAAGACGACAGACTCCTGGTCCTAGCGTGTGCTGTACAGGAGATTATAAAGCTGAAATGTCTCCCTAGATCGCAGTGCAGAACCACATCCCCATGGGCAAATATCATCTGGAGCAGTGCTTGTTAGGAAGGAGAACAACTAGCAGAGGTTAGTGTCAATCTTAAATTACACTACTGAAATATGAAGCATGCTGCTGCTGTAACATAATGCATGTCTGTATGCTCTCTTCTCCCTGTAGGTGAATACACTCACTTCTGACAGAGACTGTACGAGAACTATTTAGTTTCATGAAGTCGCAGTTAGGTGGCCTAAGCAAGCACAACCTGCTAAGACTTAAAAGTGAAGAGACCTTGTAGAGCATCTATTAAGAAAATACACTGGTGACATCTGCTGAGAAAAGGGTCAGCTAACCAGGATTAGGAATCATAGACTCATAGAACCAGTACAGATGTATCTTTAAGTTAGCGTGCTCTTGTGTTCCTCTGCAGTGTTGACCTCTTAGTTTTTTGCGTGACTTGCATCTGACCTGGTCTGCTCAGCTAACGTCCAAAACTTGCGTCTGGTCACTTCGTAGTTCGAAGCATTTGTTCTGGTGTAGGGGAGGAAGGTGGCAACAGGTGTGAAGTCAATTGTAAATCATTCTGAGCTGCCTTTTTTTTTTAAGCTTCAGTATGACCAGAGGATTGCAGGAGGCTGAATGTCAGTAAGACAAAGTGTTCTTCAAAGCAAGATGGGGACAAACATACTTGATCTTGTAGAGGCTACTGACAGAAAAGCTGTAAACTGTGGATCTCATGAAAGTGTTGCGAGTCTGCAACGTCAAGTTGCTTTCCTTGTATGAGGCGACATCACTCAGAAGTAGCATCAGTGACTGCTTAGAGACTAAGCTGTCAGCGTAAATGGAAGAAAAGCTTTTAATGAACACTTGTAGCAGTAAAAATTACACATGGACTCTATCCACAGTGTTAAGGATTCTTCCGTACTAGAAAACATGATGCTTAGGGGCTCCTGACAGATTTTTTTTTGTTCTCTTTATTTTAGTGGAGGAAAATTTCTTAGTTTCCTCTTTGCATCTGAACAGTGCTGCTGAAAACAGTTCAGATGCGATATTATGTTTTCCTCTTCTAAGGAAAAGCTATTGCTTAGCATGAATCGTTATCCCTTAGGGCTAAAGATACTATAGTGGGGGTGTGTCTGCTTTTTAACTTTAAATTACATAAAATCGAACTATGGGAAATTTCTGTTAAGGCTAACATGAGCTAGAAACTATTTTTGTGAATCTCTTTGCACTTTGTCAAAAAGCATGGTGTCAAAAGGTAAAAACTTCTGGTTTTGCTCCTATACCTGTACAGAGATCCCACTAAACAGTTATTGTGCTACAATTACAGTCTCATGTTGGTAACGCTTGTCCTTCAGTTGCCTGCTAAGCATATCTGTAGTAAATGTCTTGTACTGTCATTTCTGTTAAAATCTATGTGGGCTTCATGATAAGGGATATGTCAATCCCCAGCTGTTCATCAGCACTCTTTTCCAATAAAGTAGACTACCATGCTAGAGGTGTCTTGCTTTGTAACTCCTGTGCTAGGTGAGGACTAAAGCCATGGAGCTGTGATATTGAGAAATGAGTTGTAAATATGTCAGCATGGGAATAAAAGGAAAATGCAGAGCATATAAGCCTGACAGCAGACGTAACAAGTCAGTGACTTCACGCCTAGTGCTTTCCACTGCATTAACCCAGTGGGTTCAGTACTAGTTGCTCCTCAGTCTGTAGGCACAATCTATCGGGAAATCAAAGGACACACCTATAACACACTGCTAAGATTTTGCACCTAAGTATGGGCACTTTAAGTGGTACGGCGACTTCTCTGTGCGTCTTGCATCATGCTGACTGTCTCCCACGAAATGGGATTATTATACAGTGACTGCTCCAGATAGGGCAGTGCCAAACTTCATCTGCTGTGACAGTGCCCTGCCAGCACAGTGTGGGTGCTGTGGGTGGCCTGAGCCACCTTCTCCCTCCCTGAGGGAACAAATGTAGCAAACCGGGACTGTGGTGACACCCGAGCATGAGGCTGGGCAGCCTGTTTCAGTGCTGTTAACTCTGTCTCAGTTATGGCTTCCTGGGTTTCTGATTCCTGTCTTCACACCGAGACTTGAGAACAACACCACTTTAGACTAGAAAGCTCAGTCTCATCTAAGGCACCTTGATTTCTTTTCATAAAATTAGTCAGTATCTTGAGTTTATCTGTTGAGGCCAAGGTAAACTGTGGCTCTACTCTTCAGCTCTTCTAAAAGTCTCTGCTTAATGTCATTTTGCAAAATGGGAAGTCCTAATAGATAAGGTGGTCCTTTACCTTTTTGATATATGTGAAAATTCAAGGAGACTCCACTCCATGGCTGGACTAGAATTTATAGAAAGCTTCTTGTCAGATTTTCCAATAGTATATGAGACACATGAAATCCATCTGAATATCAGTAAAATCTTCTAAAGACATGTCAGTAATACTCTCTTCACCTCAGAGGTGTCTGTTTACACTAAAGTTCAGCCTTCCTGGTTATATATGTATAAAAAAAGAAAAAAAAATCCTCTTCAAGTGTTGTATCAACACCTCTTTGCCTTTTAAGTGGATATTTTATGACCACATGCTTTTCCCCCTGGTATTTGGGATGTTATTTTTATATCCCTGTTAACACAAGTTGAAAGCAGATCAATCTTCTTTGTTTATGCTTAATGTCTTCTGCAATTTCAACAGGTGAATGATAAAAGTCTGAGGGAAAAGAGAAGTCTGGTGTGATTTGTTTTTCCTAGGAAAATAGTAACAATAACAGAAATGTACTGCAGACAGTTGTTTCCATTTCAAATAAAGGGCAGTAAGTCAGTGCTACAAGTAGCCTCCTTATAACTGGTCATTGACAGAAACGCATAGCTTTCATTTTTACTGTAGTCTATATTCAGTGACATGGCTGGTATTTTAAAACTCTGCTGCTTTGGTGATTTAAAGCAGCAACAATTTATATATTAATACCAAAAAATTAAGAAAACTGGTATTTACACTTACATTTTTTCCCCAATTAATCTTGTAGTATATTGCTTTGCTTTTTGTGTTTAAATCTCAATGTTTTCAGTAAGAGAAAATGCTATACACCTATTTTCAGAGGAAGATGTGTTGAAAGCGATCTCATGATTTAGGAAGCTTTGGTTCGAGTTTTGGCTTCTGCCACAAGTGTATTTGAGTCTTCAGCTAGTCATCCCCATAAAATTTCTGCTTTAATTCATGCATATGAGTCCATAAATGCCCAAATGCAGTGTTAGCTAAATTCCTCAATCCCAGATAGGCATGCATTTTGAAAGAAAAGCTTTCAATGCATAAGTAAGATGAATTGGTCTCCTTACACTACTTGGTGTAGTGAAAAGAGAGCAAGCCCAGGTTTGTGTTGCTGTGTAAAAAAGCAAAAAGTCAGGGGGTTGATCAGGGAGGGAAGTTCAGATGGACCCAGCTGTACAGCTCCTTAAAAATGAACTGCTTATCTGGGACCTGGGACTTCACAACTGTGTTTCCCATCTGTTAAACGCATCAATAGCATTTGTGGTTGTATGGCAAATAAGTTGAGTAGAAGTAAGTCAGATACTGGCTCTTTAGAACCTGGGCTGCTTCTATATTGTTGTGGGGGATTTTTTAGCTACTGCGGTGCAGAGCTGGAGGGACGTCCCCAGCCATCCCTGGGCAGGGAGGGTGTGGAGCTGTGGCAACTACTAAATAAGCAGCTCTCACAAGGAACTGACTGAAGTCCTTTTGCAGGAGGCTTTCTTCCCCCCAAGCACACCTATGTGTAGCCCAAATGTGTAACCATAAAACCTCTTGGCACCTACGTGGTGCTCCCTAGCGTAGAATTTCAAAGCGCTGCGTGTGTGCAGGCAGGTGGGCAGCCCAGGGCTCCCCTCTGCTTTGGGGGGGTGGGGGAAGCTCTGTGGCTCGTTGAGCCAGAGCTCGCCCCTGGAACTTCTTCCACGTGTTGTCCTTTAACCACTGAGGGATATTCTTTCTGAGGTTCTTGTTCTTCCCAACAAGGGAATTGGGCCTCCTTATCTTCAGGTTGCTTGTCTAGGTATTACTGCTGATGGCAGGCAGCACACTGCTGCTGCATCCTTCTTATAGGATGGGCAGAGAAGTTGTCGCGCTCATGAATTCAGATGGAAAGCCTGCCCTGGAGAGTGAAGCTGTACAATCTTCTGAATCCTGGGCTACTACTCCACCTACTTGTGGGATCCCTTCTGCTATATGTAGGTGTTGTGCTTAGTGACACGGTTTAATGGTGGACCTGGTATTGCTAGGTTAACAGTTGAACTTGCTGATCTTAAAGATCTTTCCCAAACCAAACATTTGTATGATTCTATACAGAAAGAAGCATCATATACTTCCAGCTCCACCAGAACAGCCTCTGGTCTTTAAGGTATGAGAAATCTAAACCTGTTCTCATGCCACTGATAGCAGCAATTCCTCCCTCCAGCAGTGCCAATAGCCTGGCTGGTGGCACCAAAGGAGTTAACTTGTATAAAATCCATTATGTGTAACTGCCTGCTCTGCCCTGCCTTACTCTTCCTTAACAAAATCATTAGGATGGCTGTGGGGAAAAAAAATCTCTTTTTCTCTTGCTTCTGAAACTTTAAGCACTGTGGCTCTGCCCTCACACCTGATCCCTGCTTCAGCAGTTCACCCAGTGTTGGAGGCGAGGGCACAGCTCTGAATGAGAAGAGCTGCTCAGGAAAGCAGCTGGTGAGGACCAGTCACCTCACCTAAGGTTTAGTGCCCCTTGCTCATCTTTTCTCTCACCTGCAACCTGCTTCACTCTTCACTGCCCTGCTCTCCAGTGTCTTGGGCAGGGAGAGCACATGCACAGTCTCAGCTGCTTCTCTTTGGCTCAATGCAAATTGACCCTTTTTTTTTTTTTTTTTTTTAAATGTTTACTTGTAGTGTGTAGCAACTGACTCTGTGAGCAGCAGGATGGTGTAATCATCCCATCAGTAAACTGAGGTGAAGCACTAGTAGTTTAACCAAATTGCCAAATTTCTGTATCAAGTTTTTTCCTGGGATTCTAAAATCTTTTTTAATCACTTTCTGCAAAAGACAACAATATTCATTCATTTTCTCTTCAGTATTTTAGCACATACCTGCTACTCTTTCAGCTTTGACTAATATTACAGTATGATTTCATGTACCAGTTGCTTTATGAGAAAATTGTGAATTTACTAGAAAACTAAGTTTTGGTGTTGATGACTTCTTTCTGCTCTCAATGTTAGTAAGGAATTTCAATGAAGTGCTACCTGGAAAAGGGAGAGCTCTTGGGGCAGGAAGAATTCATTTCATTGTCTGGGACTAATCCCAGTTCACTCTCTTCTCTTTAGTATGTTAGACAGCTCTATCCCTTAGGTGGAATGTAACTTAATTCCTCAGTCATGGATTTCCAGTGATTGCTGGGCTGCTGCTTTATCTTTATTTCCATGTAGATTTTTAACATATTGTGTTGAGAGAAGATGCTTGTGAGGTGAAATATGTCCTCTACTTCTGTGACTTGTGCAACTTTTTCCACTTGTTCCACTTGCAACTTGTGCAACTTGTTCCCCTTGGTTGCCTCTGTTGTATGGATTATTGTGGTGTTGCTGCTGGAATTCGGTATAGATTTATGGGCCTTACATACAATCCTGGAGTCTAGATCTCACGCTCTTTCACATCACAGAATCATAGAATGTCAGGGGTTGGAAGGGACCTCAAAAGATCATCTGGTCCACCCCCCCTGCCAGAGCAGGATCACCTACAGTAGGTCACACAGGAACATGTCCAGGCAGGTTTTGAAAGTCTCCAGAGAAGGAGACTCCACAACCTCCCTGGGCAGCCTGTGCCAGGGCTCTGTCATCCTCACAGTGAAAAAGTTTTTTCTAATATTTTTATGGAACCTCCTATGTTCCAGCTTGTACCCATTGCCTCTTGTCCTGTCATTGGACATAATTGAAAACAGCCTGACTCCATCCTTCTGACACTCACTCTTGACATATTTATGAACATTAATGAGGTCACCCTTCAGCCAATTATATATTGTAATTTATATATTGTAAATTCCTGAGAGTAAAGGAAAAAGAAAAGAGGAGGAACCTTAATGGTATTCTATTTTATTGAAAAATAAATAATATTGGCCATTTAGTAGCAGCAGGATTGTACCATGATATAACAACTCAAACTGCTTCCTCTGGATGAAGGAAATGTCTATGCCAAGGAGAAGAATTACAAAAGGAGAGGTTTATAGAGGTGCTGTGTGTCAGGCAGAGCAAGAATTCATTTTTTTCTGGGAGGGGAGAAATAAACCTGGCAGATCCTAGGAGATTCCAGTCCCAGGCAGCTACTGAACCTATCTATGCCTCCATAACTTTTTTTCTTCTTACATGCAGGTGGAAGGAGAGATCCCCTAAAAAGCGATCAAACAAATTCAACAGTGCAAGAGTAAAATGTGTGCTAATAAACTAACTCAATCTTGGGCATGGGCTTTGTGGGGGAATAGTCGGTTCGCTAAGGTCAACTTAGATGCAGGTACATTGTTCTGGAGCTCTAAGTGTTTAAAGGAATGGCAGTGGCCACTGGAATGCTGGAGCTAGGGAGCATGCACAGGCAAGTAGTAAAGTGTCCTTCTGAAACTGGAAGTCTTGCCTTTGTGGTTACTTAAAGTTGTTGCTCCACCTTGGACTTGCAGAGAGAGAGAGGAACTCTATAGGCGCCTAACAAGCTCTAGCCCAGCACAGTCAGGGCTTTCACCTGACACTTTGTCTGAGGTGGGGGGAAATGCTGACCCTGAGCCCCTCCTCACACCTGCAGGGCACTTCCTACTGGGACCCTCTTTCTGTGTACAGCATTACTTAGCTTTGTGCACAGCAGCCTTTGGAAAATGTTAGCTGTCAGAGTCTTCATTTGTAGAGGGGTAAACCAAGGCAGCAATACTGGAATGACCAGCTATGGTCATCAATAAAATAGCAATAAAAGGGGATCCTTGTAACTCCTTGTTCTTCTGCTTTAACCCTAGTCTTCCCTAGTTAAAGAGCTGAAAAGCATAGTCATTACCTGTAGTTTCAGGTGTGGAAGATTTAAGGATCATTAAGGTTAAAAGTCTTCCCAAGCCTAGACACTACCTGTGAATCATGATGGTCTTTAAATTCATCACAGAATGACAGTACTATCCTCCTGTATATTTGCCAGTGCTGGTAGCTGTCAGTGGTAATGAGAGGCTTTGAGAAAGGATGTGGGACCAAGCTCTCGGTGATAATTCTATGTAAGATCCCATCAGCAATGTGCCATTTCACTCCCTTGCAAAACACAATCCAGACTGACCCTGTCTATGTGAGTCTTTGTCTGCTCAAATCTGGATCAACTGCACAGGTTTACACTGAGGAATGCTATGCTGATATTAATGCTGCCATCTCACATGTACGTAAAATTTTCTCCAGTTTGACAATATCTACAGGGCTTTAAAATTTTTTTCTACTTATATTCTTTCTGAGACCTTAAAGCTTGTGAGAAATCCAACATGGTTGTTAAAACAAAACGAAAGTATATGGGATATGCTTAAATGTGGTTACATTTTGACTGATAGTGCTACTTGCATAAATTTGAAGGGACACTGAAGGATTTCATGCTGATCGCCCCAATATGCATGTACCATGTGAGAAAAACACTGAGTCAACATAGACTGAGGCTTGGATTTAAAAAAAAAAAAAAGTGTGCAAAGACAACTGTATCTCCTTCCAAACAAACAGTGAGTCAAAAAAGGAGGATGTAATAAAGTTTTAGCTTTTCGGTGCTCTGCTACAGGGTGTATCCACAAAGCTAAACCCACGCAGAGATGCTGATCTACCGATCCCGGTAAGACAAGTCTGTTCCCTCCTGGCTGCTGCTCTCTCTGGGCCTTGCATTTTCCCATGGAGATAAGATTAATCGGACATAATTAACTCCACACAACTCAGCCCTGGGTTTTGCTCCTCTCTGTGCACCGCTGGCCTCGGCACAGCCAAGCCTTACAAATCCATCTGCAAAAAGATTTACAAAGCAGCCTATATTTTTTTTTGGTGGTGTGGTGAGACCTGTATCATACCTGCAGATAAAAGTCAAAGAAATTAAGGATGAAGACTATGTCCTTATTTGTCTGGTTTTTGAAGGATTTTGTGTGGGTATTTGACAGGGTTGTTACTAGCTGTAGGAAACAGCTGATCTGACAGCTTTTAATAAGGAGACGTTATGGTTACTGCAGTCATACTAGGTTTCAGTACGCTTTGAGGATAAAACCGTGCACCACCTAAATCAGTTTATTTCATCTCAGAGAGGAGGAAGGAAAGGACGATAACTCAGCCTAATCATATTTGTCCTAGCAATTTGATGTAAAAAATGTCTTCTGTAATTTATCAGGCACTGAAGCAAGGGGGTTTTATACATTAAATAGAGACATATTATATGTTTCTGTATATATTAATAAAGAAGATAGGATTTAACAGCAATTTATATATACAAAACATCAGTTTGCTTATATTTCATTTCCAATATTTAACCATCATTGTTAGATTTTAGTTATCAATAAGATATGTGATACAAGATACAGACTATGACACTGATTTATTTGTTTATGAGCAAAGACGTTCTCACTATTATTTAGTTTCTCGATTTTTACGTACATTGGCAACATGGATAAATAGACAATACTTGAACTAACTATACATGTTCTTCCACATCCTAGTATTAAAGTGCCTACAAATCAATACACCCAGTTTCTTATAGTCTTGTTGTCATTTACTTTTTTAAAATTCAGTTAAAAATGCATGGATTTACTATTGTCCTTATTAAACAGCAGATCAGTCACAACAGCGATATGTAAATTCTAGGAAGACCAGTTGGCTTTCTTTTGTTGTTTTAGTTTTGTACTGGACTAGGTTTAATATTTCTCAGAAGCTTGTTATTGAAAAGAAAAAAAAAGACATTAAAAACCCCCCCCAAAAAACTTCTGTCTTGGCAATCTGCAGCTCAGGTTTTTAGGCAATCCTACATCACCTTCCAGCATCGCATCCGACGCACAGCAGTGGCCTTTGCTCTCCCTCCTCTCGCACTCCGTGCCGCCGCACTCTGGCAGGGAAGAAATTTTGCTGTTTTTTTTTTTCATTTGTAAAGACCCTGAGCGTGCTGGGGTGGGTTACTCCGGATGGGGGTCTACGCCCGCTTGACACTGTCAAGCAGCTCCGTCAGCTCGCTGATGTACTTGATGGTGTACTTCAGGGTTTGTATTTTGGTGAGGGGCTGTCCCCTCTGGCTGTAGACGGGGGGCAGGTAGTTGCGCAGCGTGTGGAGCGCATCGGCCAGGGTCCTCATCCGCAGCTTCTCCCTCTCGCTGGCCTTCCTCCTGCGCTGGGCCGACATCCTCACCTTGGTGCCCTTGGGCAGCCGAGCCTGCCCGGGGCTGGGCAGGTAGGCGGCGGGGAAGTCCACGAGGCCGTAGCCCACCAGGCTGCCGCCGCTGCCGTAGGGAGTCTCTGCTGCCGCGGGGCCAGGGGATGAGGAGTAGGATTCGAAGGAGGGTGTGGGGGATAAGCTGTGAGGAGAAGAGACGGAGTGCAGCTCGAAAGGCCCAGCGGTGCTTTTCCAGTCCCAGGAAGACAAGCAGACGGAGTGCTCCGACCCCAAAGCGTCTTCCATGTTTACCAACGTCTCGTGCAGCTTATCCATGCTGGAGGAGCACTGGGGAGAAGCGGTGCTCTCTCGCCGGCAGCGAGGGCGGGCCCCGCCGGCTGCCGAGACCTTTTTATGATGGAGGGAGGAAAGTGACAGAGTGGGAACGTGGGTTTGGCGAGAGGAGTTCAAAGGCCCGCCACAAGTGCTAAGATAGAAGATGAACTGCTGATGTGCTAGGTTTTTCTCAATGATAATTATCAACCTTCAGCTAAAAAGCCTTTAAACTAACAGGCAACAGTGAGAAAGGAGGAAAAAAAAGATTATCTTCTCGCAACTAAACCAATTAAGGTTGCGCATCTACATGTAACATTGAGCTGGGGAGATAAGTGGCGAGAGAGGAAAAAGAAAATTAACAATTTTACAAAGCGGTTTACAGACATAGAATTTAAAGATAATGGCCACTAAAACAAACACTGAATTTAAGCCACCAGGACCTAATTTCTTTGTAGCTGTTGGAAGGAGGTGGCACTACAGCAGGGATTTCATCTGTGCTGACTGCTGCTGAAGTAGCCTTTCATTACCCGCATCTTAATCATGAAAGTCAAAGATTGTTTGGATTTGTCCATGTTACAGCTCTCAATAGATTATAATTTCTCTCTGGATCACTTTGATTTTCAACAGGAGAAGGGAGGAAAGACGAGGAATGCATTCCTTGCAGTCCATAGATTCTTTTGCTATTTTAAATCATGACTGGGAAATCAGAAAGGAAAGCTGCAACTGTAAATAAGTCAAAGTCTCAATTTAAAAAGAAATAAGAAAATGTAGTTTAAAAAAAAAGTCTAGGAAATAAATGGTGATAAACCAAATGTTTTATGTAGAAATTTAATTCAAAGTAATATACAGATTAGATGTGCTTAAGAAAAGACTAAAAGTTATTTCTGTAAAGTTGTCTACCTCTAGGAATCCATTCTTCTGCTAAAAGAAAACCCTTTTCCAGACCTAACTCAATGCAATAGTGAAGTTACATGTTAGGAAGCTCAAGTGAAAATATATATCCTTTAAATTAATAACATTAATAATGAGCACTTTTCATCTCAGACCAGCTTACAGTGATGATTAATGATCTCTATTACTCCGGGGAAATGGATAAGCAGAGGTGAGGAGTAACTTGCTGAAAATCACACAGCAAATTGGTAGGAGAGCCAGGAAAACTGTCCAAAAGCTCTGCAGCTCTACTGCCCAGCTCAGCTGCCAGTCATGACTTTGCATCAGCCCATAATGAAAAGAAAGTATAAAATATGATGAAGAGAAGTGGGGAAGGAGTGCCAACCTGGAGGGAAAAAAAAAACAAAAAAAAAGTAGGATTTGTTTTAGAGTTTTTTCCTGCTGTGTAATGGTCTCTGGGTGCACCATACTCCACTCTGAAAAAAGGGATGAAAGCCCCTGGATGGCACAGAGCTGAAGTAAGCTGCAGCTTTCTGGGATGCACTATTTCATTCTGACTGTGAAATCCTCACTACAACCACACAGAAAAAAAACCAACAAACAAAAAAACCCCAGTCCAACAATCACCATTGTCATTAGGAAGGTTTTTGTGAATTTTTATGAGTTTGAGATCAAAACGTTGGGAAGCAGCTTGTGGGACACTCACCAATTTTATCCTGAGACGAATAAGAAAGAACTAAAACATGAAGGATTTTCGTATTTGAACACAGCCCGACACAGTTTGACCATGACAACATCCACCCCATGCAGAAAAGTGGGACACAGCTCCCCACAGGCGGGATTACTTTGGGTTTTATGGCTACTCTACCATATTCTGCGTTCTGCTTTACTCTTTTAAGAAAAATGAGCTGTAACATTCATAAGAATCACAAATGCCTGTTACCAATTAAAATTTACACCAGACGAACGACAGGTATTTTCTGTGACTTCGGTGAACTGAGCGAGTTCCACTGAGCACCAGGACAACAGTCACAAGGCCACAAGTTAGACACAAGGTCTAATTTACCATAAATAGGGGACTAGTTTCTCTCCTAGTTAAAATCTCTCGCACTCTTTTTTTCCTCCCCACATTTGTGTTTCTAGTGCCTTTTCCATTTGACGTGTCCCCTGTTTTCATTCTGTCTTTCCTTTTTTTTTGGTAAAAACAACAATCAAAAGTCTGCAAACAGACAAAATCAGGAGGGGAAGGTGGAAGTGGAGGAACTTCTGTCAGGGTGTGACAGGAAAAAGAGCTTGCAAATATATGTGTGTATACACATATAAATATATTAAAATACACATATTAAGTATATATACATATACTGAGATAAACTGTTCTGTCCAGCTTAGATTTTGGAATCAAATGTTAATCAAATCCAGTCAAATTTAGAAGCAAAAATTTCAACAAGTCACTTGTTTGCTGACTATAAACAATGCATGTTTCCAGTTAATTTATACCCCTAATCTGTGGGTAAATCATAGACAGTATTGCTCAGACACCAAGAAGGAAAATATTTTGTGCATGTCCAAGATGTTTTTGCTGTAAATGACAGGTGAACACAGTCAGACTTCATGTCTATATTCTTATATATAGGTATTCAGATGAGATTAGGCAGGGAAAAGGAATGCATATTACAGCAATATCTACATATTTTCTTTTATCTCATGGGTAAATGCTTAGAGTAACCAAGGCAGGATATTAGAGTATGTGGACAACTGCTCTAGTTGCATGAAAACTCATTGTAACTTACAAGCTTATGTTCTTACAAACTGCTACACGGGCAAGAAAAATATCTAGGCTTTTCTATATTAATGAATAACACAGGGTTAATGGTCATGCTTGAAAACTGCCTTGCAGTTGTGTATCCTTTTATATCACCATCATGCTCCCTCCCTGATGCTGTCTTAGCTTGGACCCACCTAGTTATATCCCAAACACCACTTGACTGTGATTCGAGGGATGTCACGGAGGGCATAAGGGTGAGCAAATGGTGTGAAATATGAAAATTGCACATGAAAGCAAGCTTTGCTGTAACACGTGTCTTCGGAGCCAAAGGAGAGGCTGTGACGTGTTTGCTCAACTGGTAGATATGCAGCCAGAGGATCAATTTTGAAAAAAAAAAGCCACCCATTTCTACCCACAGCCCCCAGGTTCCCAAAATGTACTCACAGGTATAGTGCTTCAGCTTTGGTCAAATTGGGAAACTACGTAAGAATCAGCCTCCAAGATCCCTGTGTGTAAGTCAATGGAGTCTCAAGGCAGTTCTTGGATGAGTTAGTGTTGGATAGTGCTACATTTCCACCCATTAAGTAAGAGAACTCTCAGTTAGGAAATTATCTTGCAAAGTAGAGACAACTATAACAGGCAAAAGTTACTGGAAATGGTAGAACAGTTCACGGTTTTGTTTTTTTAATAGGGCCTTAAAAAGTACCACAAAGAAGAAGGCTTGGCTACAGGCTGGATACCAGGTTTATTTTTCAATGCTCTAAGAGTAGTTGATGCTCTCATACTAAAAAGATGATAAAGTCTAGTATTTCAGACACCTTCCTAGAAACTAAAACCACGAGGCAAAAAAAAAAAAAAATTAGTATTTGCAAACTTTATTCCATCCTCTCATAAATTTTAGGAATTCCCTTTTTGGTCTGCCAGTACTGTCAAACCATTGAAAGGTAGTGAGATATGAAGCTAACACCGATGGAATACTAACTGACACTTAAAAAATGATAAGGTATTTTCTGCTTGACTGATAGTTTTGATTTTCAGTAATTTCTTCTGTAATATAAAGGCTAACATCTCAATTTTCATCTTCTTTAAAATGAAAGATTTCCTGCTCATATTTCTCAATTCATCACAGAAGGGAGGAGAAGCATAGGAGTAAAATGTTTTCCACTTGAAAAAAAAAAACCACAAAAACCCCATATGTGTCATATGTGTCTGATTCAGATTTGAAATTTAAAATAGGTTGTCCAGATAACCACTGTTATCCACAAGTATAGTAGAAAAATGCATTTCTGTGTACAGTTATTTAAGTACCACTCTACTTTTTACATATATATTACAGCATATTTCCACCAAGCTATGAGTTTGGTAGGAGAAACAGACTTGTGACAATAAGTAAAAAAATCCCATTGGATGTGAAGCCTGCAGGCTGAAACTGAGTAAATATGGATAAAAACGTTTCAACAACACCAATCCCATAACAGTCAGCCTTTTTTACAATGAGGACAGAAGTCTAGTCTTACTTTAGTGACAAGAATCAGATCATAGTAACATCCTTGTAGGGTATTTAGACGATAAAGCCTCATCTTGCAGTTTGTACTGTGAAAAATTACCTCTCAGAAGCTTTTAAAGTGATTTAGTCTTTTATTTAACAAGAAGTTTCCCAAGTATTAGCTGCCCACTCACTGCGGAGGCAGCTGTGACCATCCTGCGTTACAGAGGCGCAGACGAGGAGTCAATCCCCCATATATAAAACGTGGGGTGAGCAGATGCAGGTCCCACTAACTTCAGCAGACGCAGCAGGTGTTCAACACTTTCAAAAAATAGTGTCGAACACTTCAGTTTACACCCAAGCTGGCAATAAAGGAAGGAAAGGATCCACCACATCTGTTATCCAGAGCCACATTAGCCACCAGACGAAGCTTCTGCCCTTTTCAAGGCTTTCCCTCAATTTAGGCAGATGTTTTTTATTTTTTGAATGAGTGGGCTTTGCAGCTTTTTTTCTACTCATGGAGGGTGGTTTAATCGGGGTCCAACCTCAACTGAAATAGATAAGACTTCCAGAGAAGCAAGCTGGTCAACAAGAACATACTTTTTTCTTTTGAGATCAATATGCCAAAGAGTATGGATAAACAGCCAGCTACAATTCCCAGAGGGAAAGAATGCAGTAAGAAAACCAGGACCGATCCAAAATCCAGGCCTATGAAAGGGAGCCCACAACCCTTACTATAATCAATAAAAACCATGTAAATTGGAATGTCTAATTGTTATTGCTGCCTCTGGCCAAACAAACCTGTGGCTTGCACAAGAGAAAATGTTATTTACTTGCAGTAAGACCAGAAATAGGCTA